AAAACATTTATTGGTACATTTTATTTTATTTTATTTTTATTTTTGGTACTGGGCATTGAACTCAGGACCTTGCACTTACAAGGCAAGTGGTGGCACCACTGAGCTAAATCCCTGGCCCTTATTGGTACATTTTAGATATACATAATGATAACTTTCATCATAGGAAATTTGTACCTGTACATGATATATCTTGTTTCTTTCTTTCCCATTTCCCCCCTCCTTTTGATCCCTCTCCCCCTCTTATATACAAAAGCTTTATTACCATTTTCTTCTTTTTTTTTTTCTTGACCCTCCTTTCCTTCCACCCTCCCCGCTTGGTTCCCTTCTCATTTAAACATTTTCTTCTAATTTCCAATATCTATTATATATTTTAGTTCTTATTTCCACTTTCAGTTTCTCACGCCAGAGAAACAATGAGATGTTTAAACATGTGTGTCCGATTTATTTCATTTAAGAGCATGGTCTCAAAGTGTATCCATTTAGCTATAAATGTCTCAAATGCATCCTTTGTCGTGGCAGAGTAGTAACCCCACATCTTCTTGATCCACTCATCAGTTGACTGGCATTTGGATTGTTTGCAAGATTTAGCTATTAGAGACTGTGCCCCTGTGAACATGGGTGTGCATGTATCACTGTGGTATGATACTTTTAATTCTTTTGGAAAGATACCAAGAAGGGAATACCTGGGTCAATCGCCGATACCAAAAAAAAAAGGAACCTCTAGTTTTAGTTTTTCGAGGAATCTCCACACTGATTTCCACAGTGGTTGCACCAGTCTACACTCCCAGGAGAAGGGTTCTTTTTTCCCCAAAGCCCCTCCAGCATTTGTTATTGGTTGATTTCTTGATAACAGCAATTCTTTCTGGAGTGAGATGGAATCTCAGCATTGTTTTAATTTGCATTTCTTGAATGACTATTGATGTTGAACATTTTTTCAAGTCCAAAGCTTGTTTGAGCAACAGCAGCATTAGGTCTTCTCTAAATTTCTTGTAGAATTCAGCAATTAATCCGGCAGGGCCAGGGCTGGCTTTTTTTTGTCAGTAGGTTTTTAATTACACCTTCAATTTCACTGAATAATATTGGTTTATTTCGAATTGTTATATCTTCTTGATTCAGCTTTGATAATTCATATGTATCTAAGAATCTGTCCATTTCTTCTGTGTTTTCCATCTTACTAGAATACAGGTTCTCGGGCTGGGGATTTAGCTCAGTGGTTTCGCTGACTGCTGCGCAAGCACAAGGACCCAAGTTCGATCCCTGGTACCAAAAAAAAAAACAACACAGGTTCTCAAAAGTAGGTATTGACGATCTTCTGGATTTCTGCAGGATCTGTTGTGATTTCATCCTTTTCATTCCTAACTGCATGAATTTGTCTTTTCTTTCCTTTTTTTTTTTTTGATAAACTTGGCTAAGGGTTTCTCAATTTTATTTAATCTTCCAAAGAACCAACTCTTCAAATCATTGATTCTTTGTATTGTTTTCTTGGTCTCCATTGCATTAATTTCTGCTCTAATTTTTATAACTTCCTCCCTCATGCAAGCTTTGGACTTGACTTGCTCTTTTTTTTCTAGAAGCTTGAGGATCAACATTAGGTTGTTTATTTGACCTTGCACTGTTTTTCTGATATGGGACTTCACCATTATCAATTTCCCTCATAGGCTGTTTTCATTACATCCCATAAGTTCTGGTCTGTTGTATTGGCATTGTTGTTTAATGGCAGAAATTGTCTAATTTCTTCTTTAATTTCATCTCTGACCCATTGATTGTTCAGGAGGGTGTTGTTTTAATTTCCATGTGTTTATGAAGTTTTTGTGGTTTCTCTTGCCATTGATTTCTGATTTCATTACACTATGGTATGATAATATGGATGGGATAATTTCAGTTCCTCTGCATCATTTACTTAAGCTTGTTCAATGAGTTAGTATATGGTCTATTTTGAAAATGTCCCTTGTGCAGCTGAGAAGAATCTATATTTTGATGTTGTGTGATGGAACACTCGGAAAGCATCTACTAAGTCCATGTGTCCAAAAGTTGGGTGCAATTCTGATATTTCTCTGTTGATTTTTTTTCTAGTTGGTCTATTTGTTTGTGACAGTGGAATAATGAAGTTCCCCATTACATTATCTTAGTGCTTATTTCATTTTTCATGACCATCAATATTTATTTTATATTGTTGAGTGTGCTGGTATTGAGTGCCTATATATATTTATGTTTATTATCTCTTTCTCTTAGATTGTTCCCTTTACAAGGGTGTAGTGACCCTCTGTGTTTCTCTTAATCAGTCTTGGCTTGAAATCCACTTTGTCTAATAGCCACCCCTGCTTTTTTCTGGGTTCTTGTTGCATAGAGTATAGTTATTCATCCATTGACTTTCAGCCTATCAATTTCATTTTGGATTAAGTATGTTTCTTGTATGGAGCATATTGTTGGATCTTGCATCTTGATCCATTCTGCCAGTCTGTTTCTTTTTATTTGTGATTTGAGACCATTTATATTGATGGCTATAACTGATTTGTACTGATTTATCCTTGTCATGTTATTTTCCTGGTTTTGGTTCCCTTTTTTCCCCACTTCTGTTTAAATATTTGCCCTGCCTGTTGGGTTTATTCTGTGGTGATTCATGGAGTTATAATCCTTGTTATCACTTCTAGAATGTTCTTCATAATATTTTGGAGAGCTAACTTGGTGGTCATGCATTTCCTCGGGTGTTTTTTTGTCATGGAAGTATCTTATTTCTCCAATTTTGAAAGATAGTTTTGTGGGGTACATCAATCTGGGTGGGAAGTTGTTTTCTTTTAGGGCTTGAAATACTTCACTCCAAGTTCTCCTTGACTTGAGGGTTTGTGTTGAGAAGTCTGCTGTGATTCTGATGGGCTTTCCTTTAGAGGTGATTTGTTTCTTTTCTCTAACAGCTTTTACTATTCTGTCCTTGTGTTGGCTTATAGAATCTTGAATATCATATGCCTTGGTAAAGATTATTTTTAATCACAGCTAATTGGAGTTC